CCCGCGACCCTCAGATTGTGAGTCGAGCGCCTTATCCACCTGGCCATGCCGGGCCTATTTCGAATGGAAAGAATGGTGTTTGCAGTGGGTCTTCTTTATAACCAACTTCATTCAATATAGCAGTTTATAAATATAAAGTAGTAAGTATATCTGCAATGTATCAAAGGAAACTTTTCGTACTGTTAAATCGTTCCGTCGATGACTAATCTCGAAATACGGTAAAATTTTTAACCAGAAAGTACTGGTTATGTATTATTAGGTCACGTGTACAATGTGTAAAAAAAAAAAAATAGCGTATTTTACCGCTAGGTGTAAGAAGGCTTCATGTGGGTTATAATTCTATATGAATATTAGGCAATTTTTACAGAATTATTTCTGAAGAAAAAATTATTAAAATGTGCAGTTTTGAGTGTTAGAACTAGGGAAGACACCCCCCCCCCAAAAAAAAACGAACAAAAATTTACTTCGCGCTTTGGAACCGTAGGTGTGTTATAAGAGTGGTGATCAAATCTGTTTGTTCTGACCGGATATGGCGATGGGTGGTGTTGAATAGTTGCCTTCCCACTAGCTTGTTAGTTCGAAATGAGTCTCAGGTAGCTTTGTGCGAATTCTAACAAACAAACCACTTTTAAACTTTAATCTGTAAGATATAGATTTACTGAAGACTTTCTAAGTCTTCAGTTTTATCACGTTATGGCCAGGTGGTTAGTGCATTGCACTCGCAATCTATGGGTCGCGGGTCCCACCAAAATGCTCGCCCTTTCAGCCTTGGGGACGTTATAATGTGACGGCCAATCCCACTATTCATTGGTAAAAGATTTGGCAATGGATTGTGATGACTAGCAGCTTTCCCTATAGTATTTCACTGCTAAATTAGGGACGGCTAGTGCAGATAGCCCTCGTGTAGCTTTGCGCGAAATTCTAAAACAAACCAAACCTTATCGAGTTTTGAAATTAATAACCAAAACATTCAGTAAACCTTGGAAACAAATATACTCTCATCTACTTTAAATAAATGAGAAGAAAGTTACAATGGTTTGTTATTTAGCTGTACATCTACATGCATATATTTTTTGAAAACCCTTTATTTACTTTTGAGAAACTTATTTTATTTCATATTTGTTATGTACAAATTAACAGAAAGTCCTAAACCTTCCAAAAGATATATATAGTGGTACATTTGACCACCACCTTGATGTCAATTTAAACAATCAATAAAAATGTATTACTAAGAAATCCGTATTGTAATTTCAATAACACACCTGAAAATCTTTGACAAACCAGTACCAAGTTTCAGAGTTTTTTATTTTTGAACAGTTTGCACTCCCCTGTTTTAACATGTTTTGAGGATATTATAAATATATATATATTTTTCATATTATGCATTATCCCCTTGCATGCGAAATGCAAGAAAATTCGATAAACCTTTCAGAAGGAGCAGTGATTTCTGAATTAACGGTGTATGATAGTAGATAGATGCTGAATTTAATCATTTTTACAGTTAAATAATGAAAGGTAATTAATATATTTATTTAACATATGCTCACACAAAACATAACATCTGACAAACATGTTATTGTACATTAAAACTTCAACTAGGGTGTCGCGTTCACTTTCTTGTGTAAAAATTCATGTAACATGAAGCATTCTATATAGAAATAGGCTGATCATTATCACTGTCAAGTCAGGTTTTTTCAGTCTGGGACATGAAAATGATATCCTTGCAGATATCGATCTGCTTTAAACAATTAGAGCTCTCCAGTAAAGGTGGCACAATATGTGCTTGGCTTTAAACTGATTATGCTTGTGTGTGAATAAAGATTATTTCACTATGTTATACATTATATCCAGTCTATTTTTCTTCAAATTAAGTAGAGATTAAATGAAGTCAGATTTTTCCTCCCTCGAAACATTTCCTGGCGAGCCTCCTGTTATTCTTCTACTCGATAGGAAATCGGCGAACTTAAGAATACCGTAGTATT